AGTGCTGCTGCCGAGTCCTGAAGACTACCTCCTGCCTCCTGAACTGCACATGAAGTGCCTGGGAAGTACCTAGGAACTACCTGCAGCCTTCAGGGCGGGCCAGTCTTATATAGTCCCGTTCAGGAGGCTGCTCTTGCCAATGCCAAAACGTGCCAGACCCTGGGCTTGAAGCTCAAACAAAGGTCGTCTTGAAAATAGGCCAAAAATGGCCTGAGCTAAGACCCTGGTCTGGTGCCTGAGTTTCAGGGCAGGTCGATCTTATGAGGGCCTGAAAATGGCMCTCCGTTTCAGGCTGAAAGGACTCAGGACCGGAAAGGCCCTGTTTTAGGCTGAAACGACACAGGGCCTGTAGGCACTTGTTTTCAGGCTTTCAGGCTGAAACGACACAGGGCTTGTAGGCCCTTGTTTTCCGGCTTTCAGCCTGAAAACGACACGGGCCTGAAAATGGCCCGTGCAGCCTGTTGCAGGCGCAGCATGTAACACCCCCGCCCCTCCTTATGAAGTCAAGCCAGGTTGAGAGCGAAGCTGACGATCTGAAGGTGGAACCTGGATGCGGGTGCGACGTGGAACCAAAGATACCGGCTTGCCTTGCATCTTGCATTCGTAGCGTGCGAGAACATCTGGAGCTGTTGCTTGGAGTTCCGCACGGGTCAACCAACAGTCAGGTTTCCGAGTGCAGTACGCAAAGTGTACCAAGTACTCGGTTGGCCTGTTGCCGTAGCGTTGCTGGGAGATGATGTAGCCGACCTCTTGAAAACCGTCCGTAGAGGGTGGGTCTTGTGATCGTCGCCCGGGAAAATTGTCATCATCAGCTGGCGTGTAAGGAGCCAACTTGGAGCAATGAAAGACCGGGTAGACGGGCAAGTGGGCGGGCACCTGAATGGTGAAGGAAGGTCCTTCGGGTGCATCCCCAGCGGATGCCACGATCGGCCAGGGCCCCATCCATTTCGGGAGGAGCTTGCGAGAGATATCTTGTTCAAGGCTGAACTCCGCGGCGGAAACCCAAACAAGATCACCGGCGCGGAATGGGCAAGGAAGACGCTGGCGATTGGCCTGTTGGCTCATGCGTTGCTGCGTCTTAGCCATCTGGTCGCGTGCCTTGACAAGTAGCTGTTGCATCCGACGTAAGAAAAGAAGATGGTCGTCGCTCTCGTCCGTTTGTGGAATGATTGTGTGCAACTGAGAAGTGACCGGCGAGCCGTGCTCGAACTCGAAGGGCGACATCCCGATAGCCGGGTGGATGGACGAGTTGTATGCCAACTCAACATCCGGCAGCCACTCAACCAAATCCTTTTGGTTGCGACGGATGAGAGTGTGAAGGAGAACCTGTGCGGTTTGATGCGCCCTCTCCATTTGGCCATTGGTTTGGGGGTGGCGAGCCGAACTTGGCTTGAGAGATGAGCCCCATCGTTTGATGAGCACCAACCAAAGCTCGGACATGAACCGAGTGTCGCGGTCGCATATGATTTCCTTGGGGTAACCCTTTGTTCAAATCCAACCGGCGTAAAGAACTTCGACCAACTTCGGTGCCTTGGCATAATAGCGGCAAGGCAAAAACATGACAAACTTTGTGAGTCGGTCACCACCGTGAGAATCCCATCCACACAGGTCTTGTGCTTGGGGAATAACCCGATAATGTTCATGGCAATCGCTTCCCTTCGGCGCAAGGTGATCGGTAATGGTCGCAACTCGCCGTACGGACGATGGTTGCGGGATTTGCAGCGTCGGCAAACCTCGCATGACTCGCAATAGCGTGTGACGTCGCTGAGAAGGCCAGGCCACCAAAATCGCTCACGAAGTCGGGCAATCGTGCGATTGACTCCGAAGTGTCTGGTGGCGGGAGCATCGTGGAACTCGCCAAGAAGTCGTGTACGCAAGCGAGAGTCACTCGGTACGCAAAGAAGGTCCTTCCCCCGCGTGTGGACAAGCAAGTACCCCTCTTGGATCTGGTAGTGAGAAGGCGCCGGA